GTTTTGTAACAAACGAAACCGTTGTTATCTGTATTGTTGTTGTTTTGTTTACAAAAAGAGAGAAGGCAGTGTAAGACGAATGTAAAAAATTTTATCAAAAAAGTCTCAATGAAAGGCAATCCATAAATCATTGCTAAATAAGGGACTAAAAGATGACAGTTTGATGAACTGATAAACGTTAGCGAACCGATTCAGTATCATCCCCGAATCTTCATAAATTTTTGAGCTTTTTTTAGAATTACTTCAGTCAGTTTCAGAACGAGCGAAGTGTAGTGTCGGCAGCAAGTCTTTTTTGTTTGTTATTGCTATCGTTGCAATCGGGATAGACATTGTGACGCTATCGCTGTCAGTGAGTGTTTCTGTAATGGTATTTTCTTGTCTGCGGGGTGGTGGAATTTCAATAATTCACAAACAATTCTTCAAAGAGTTACGCGCTGAGCGTTGGTAATTAATCATTGTGAAATCGAAGCGGAGAGTTTGAACGTTTGGAGTGAAGAGGTGAGAAGAAAACTAATAGTGAATGAATTTTATGCAAAACTGACAGTTTCGTGATCAATGTGAATTCGCTTCGATAAGATGAATGAACGCAATTTTGCGTTCGTTATTCCCAATAGGGAAACAAATTTGCTGCCAACTTTCAAACACATCATCATTATCATTTATCATTATTATACTCTAGGCACATGGCCATTTTGTTGCATTCTCGTTCAACTCATTGATTTTAAGCGGGCGGCTTCAGTGGTGCAATTTCAGTGGAGTTTGGCTTGGGCATGTTTTGCGTGAGCAGTAAGGGATCCTCGTTCAGTTGTTGAGAGTAGTCGTTGAATATCAATCGAAATCGAAATCGATTCGAATTTTTAATCAGAACAGTAGTGAAATTGCAAGAACAGATGAACAGATAATAACTTGTGATTAACAATGCGATACGCATTTAAGAACGATTTTAATATTGCACAAAGTCTTTACAAACATGAACGCATTGTGAGCACATCAACATGGCGATGTGGAGAGGGCATTCGAAAATTTATTTTCTTAACAGTCTGTTAATCAAATAAGTTTTAACAAATCAGCAATTAAGATTAGCACAAAGCGAACTGAAATTTTTAAAAAAAAGTAAGGCATTAGAAAATATTCAGAGGGAATTAATTCGAGTTGACGTATTCAGTTCTGAAGAATAATTCATCGTCAGATAAATCATTAATGAACTATCTCATAAGAGCTCATCTGAGCAGACATTCGTTCTTTTCCTTGCTGTTCAGCATTCAAGTCCAGCATTTGACGAGTGCTTATTGATAGATGTGCAAATTCTATTATCACATCAATAAGTTGTTCAATTAATTTTGACAGGTGAAAATCACGTTGACCATGAACTATCTTATTAACCTTTTATGAAAAAGCAAATATTTTTCTGGAACCTCTAAAATTTTGATCGAATGAAACTGATCGAATGATACACTTCACTATGAAATGATGATCATCTCTGATCAGTCAGTTGTGAACTCACTGAAATTGCTCAAGAATTTCATGTGCAAACGAGCATAGTGAAGTATTATTTATAAGTATGATTGATATGTACAATGTGAGATTTGCTCTGATGACATCAGATGCACAATACATAACAATAATAATAATAATAATAAACAAGTGGAAGCGCATGCTTATATGTACAAAATGCACGAAAACGTTGAAAATAAGGCAAGAAAATGATGATTTTCGGCAATATGCATAGCTGTTATCAACGTTTTGGAATTGTACATAGTCTTTAGAACACAATGGAGCAACAATTGTTTTGTACAAGAGAATTCTACTTGCGTGGACAATTTGATCATTGGTCATTTTTTGAAAAACAAGCTTTTGTACGTGGCGAAAACGATAAACCCGTTTTCAAGTGTTGCATTGAAACACTTCGATAGTAATCAAGACTATTCCCTTAATTATCTTCTAAGCGACTCAATAGGCTTTTGGGAATAAGGTATTCAATACAGTGATTCTTTCTTCTGATGTAGTGAAGTAGAAGGATCATCTAATGATGTGGTCATTGCATCTGAATTCATCGAGTTTTTACGTGTTCAACTCTTTCTGAATGTCTGCTTCATCCATCAGAATGATTGTTTTGCAAAACAAATCAATCGATGAGCGAAACTGTGTCCAGAAAGGATTTACATTTGCACACAAAAATCTGTTGCAAAGCGTCACCAATGTCTATGTCTGTTATCACTTCAAATCACGACCAAAATATTGACGATTCCAGCAATGGGTTATGAACGGATGGATCCAGCGATCATCACGACTATGAGTCCATCAAAATATGAATCTTATTTATCAAATCTTGTCTGTATAGTTGGAATGCTCAATACTGTTTCCGTGATTGTTTAAAGATGGATCGGAAGCTAGAGAGCATTTAAGACAAATCTTCCAGGAAGATTCATAGGAATTTTGGGCCTGCTTTCTGGATCCTGATACAGACGATGAGTTTCAAATGAGACGAGTTTGTTTCTTAAAATAACCAGATCAAATTACTTTCGTTTGAGGAAATGATATAAGAGGATTTGAGATTCCAAGAGGAGATTCTACAAGATGTTGTGTTGCTGTGTGCATTGAGTGAAGATGAATGAGTTTGTCTTGAGTGATCGAGCGTTTTGTACAGTGTCTGAATTCACTTTCGATTCAAACCAATTTTAAAGCCTCGTGAATTTTGCATTTCACTAACGAACGATGCACTGCACTCACAGCAAATCGTGCAGACCATGCCAACTGGATAGCCTTTGTCTTTGACGCATGAGTTCATCGGAACAAACGTTTGATAGCAACTTTGTGACGATTTACGTTGCATTGCAAATCGAATACTTCCATCGTTTGGTACGGGTCCTTCGCATTCAGTCAGCTCACATTTCGGTTTCTCAATCTGCAATGTAACAATATTCATTTATTTAATCAATAGACCGGGAAAATTGTAAAGGAAATGAGAAAAATCAAACTGTGCAAATACGCGTAATCATAAAGAAGGACCAAGTAAAGAGTTCTGAATGCTAAATAATCAAATGAGTGCATGCGCCTTTCCAGTAAATTCCTCAATGGTAGTGATGCAGATAATTTTGCAAGGAATCATCGATCAACATTCCACATTAAGTGCTCTCTTCCATTATTTAATGCTAAAGTCACTTTCGAATCTGAGCGTGCAACTAGGTGCTATCTAATTGAATGAGTTCATTCAAATTGTTACTAATCAAGCAATCATTAAAAAGCACTCAAAATGAAAAGGAACAACTCAAGAATTGATCTGAATTAATGTTTGAATGGCAGTAACTTGTCAAATATTAAGGAAATAACTTGTTATCTTCTTTCGGAATGCTCAGTAGATTTAATCAAGGTTGCAAGGATTAATTGAGAAACAAAGTGCTTTTGAATACTTCACTACAAATTTCGAAACATTATCTTTCCACATCATTTTTAGATGAACTGAATGTGAATGCGATCTATTTAATCTATTGTAACCAAGTCGAGCAC